ATTCATAAATTTGACACCCGAGGGACACCAACATGGCGGACACTGACTTCAGCAAAGCTTGTGACGTCACCTGAAACACAAGAATAGTTTCGGCTTGCCTTTGATTCTGATTAACTCCTTCTCTTGGCGCCTCGTGAGTCCAGAGTCTGACACATATTATTACATACAAAATTGCTATCAGCAAAGAGGTAGGAATAAATTCAAAGTTGTTAAAAAAGCGATTAACTGAGGCCGTGTAGTTAAGGTTTTCGTCCCACGACTAGTAAGAGTCGTAGATTTTAGCAAATTTTACATTAATACAGATTGTGACTGAAGACGTTAGAGACAATGTTCATATTAATAGGATTACTTTTCTGAAATTTTGAGATATACGCGACCGTCCAAGAGGGCGAGTCACCGCATAAAAGCGATCAGCAGCAATTGCTACTAGAATCCAAACTCAAAGAGTTGGTTAAAGAATGACCGTTGATTGATAGAACTTGCAAGCGATAAGTCCTATTAACCCTCCGAACCACAATTGGTCTTACGAAATATAATGAATGGTAGTTATTAATCCAGTCATGGTTATTATGAGATCAACAAATGCTTGATTTAAGATAAAGCGATTTGTAGTGGTCTTCATGGACCTGTTAGTTCGTATTATGTGTATAATAAATGAATTTCCAAGCACTGAAACCAGAAATATTATGGCGAAACCAAAATGTATGAGAAAAATGAATCTGAACTTTAGATATGTTTCTTTAGTGGTGGTTGATAAGTTCCCTGTGGAAAGAAGATCGACACATATTGTGCTATATTTAGCCATTCTAATCAGGTACCCTTAAATTTATCTGCGATGACGAGGTATAATCATCAACAGATGTACCATTGTTGTATTTCAGTTATTTTAGTTTTACTCGCTCGTTCATTTGATTTGTCAGGAGCAGCTTAACCGTAAAGGGAAGGTTAACCCCTTCTAACTTCTAATAGGCGGGAACAAGGGTATATAGAATGTGAAAGATAGTTAAAAAATCTGTGATGTAACCTTAGGTACAAAGTGAGGTACAAGGCAGAGGTAAATGGACCCTTTGCATTTTCGTAACGCTAAGACTTTTTGAAAACAACTCAACCATAACTTATAGCCTTCTGAATATTGGTCGAGATTGAATTTCCGATAGCTTTTTAATGTACGCGTCACGTCTAAGTGTCATACCTTGGTTACTGAACCTTATTTTGCCGATAGGGCTGATGGATATTCCATACCCCAGCCCAACCTACCGAGGTCTGAAATAATTAAATACCTTGATCTTGGGCTCGGTTGCTGATGTTAATGTTTGAGCAGATTTTAAAGTCGCATTTTGCAGGTGGTTTCATATTTCATGGTGCTCACTATGTACGCCCTGTCATCGAAGAAATTTTGTTAAAGATATCTTTCTTGTGGTTCTTTTAGCACGAAATAGCAACTTCTTTTTTCTTTTTTTTTTTCATATACAATTAAGGTACTCCGATCTAACTGCTAAATACTCACCTTTCACCTTCTGTCTTGTTTCCTTCCTAAATCAACCTCCAACTAAAAAGCGAATGGCACGATATTTTGAGTAAATGTTTTTCTTCGTGAAAAGCAGAGGTATAGAGCAACTAGATGTTTGGGATAAAAGTTATGTGAAAATATTGTTGACGGTTTTCAGCGTTTTGAATTGATAAGAAACATAGGAGTACAAAAAAAAGAGTAACTATATCTCAAACAGTTCCAGAATTACAGTTAAGTAAAAACGTTTACTAGGTGTAAATGTAGGATAAAACTTGCCAGGTTTCCTCTTTAATCTTCAACCTCGGAACTTTTCAAAATAACTGGGTCACGAAAAACTTAGTAATTTAGTATGCCCCTTTTTAAGCTCTTTTATTCCCCACAGCATTACTACCAAAGCTTAAAGCTTTCTCTGATGTCTACCGATGATGGTTATTAAGGTTTGTAAAAATTCTTTTGTATGGTCATTTGTTTATTTTCATTGAGCTGCGTCATACGTTTAGATTAGTATTTCCGAAAGCTCCTCATGGAATATGAAACTCTAATACACAATACACAACTAGACAATTGTCAGGGAAATCATTTCAAGAGATAAAGTAAAGGAAGTAAGATTTTGCGGGTACTAGTATTGTCAGCGTTACTTTTGGTTCATTTGATGTACAATTTGATAATGTCCAGAAATATTAAAGAAAACCTGAGGGCGTCTCCTCAACACGATCTCTGTAATAAATTTTCTATCAGATATAAAGACTCTTTTCTTTAGGTTCATTTTCATATCCTCTGTGAGATANGAGTCTTCCACCATAGTTTTGACAAAAAGAATGAATTTTAAAGTTACGCGTACCTGAGGTTGCAACACTCATTACAAGGAAAGAAATCCCAACCTCTCGATAAAATTTATGTTTACTGGACAAGGGAAAGTTCTTTATACTTGCTGGAGCTCTATACTTTGCGATCGAAACCGGAGGACTCGAACATTTCCCAACGAAAGTTTTGCTGCATTTCTAAAATTTCCACTACAGGCAAAATAAAAGTAGGGATTAAGTGCACTGTAAACAACAGTCAGCCACAGAGGGAACAGAAGATCTTCATATTGGATCAAATCAAAAAGCAGCATTGCCATGGTTATGAGGATAGGAAGCCAACAGACGAGAAATAGAAATACAACAAAAATCATCATCCGAGTAACCTTTCTTGCTGTTGCTATGACTTCAGCTTGCATTTCATTCTGATTAGATCCCTCTCCTGGTACTTTACGTGACCAAAGCTGATTGCATATTGTTGTATAGACAATTAATATGACCAATAGAGGCAAGATAATGTTGAACGCCAATCCAAAAGCGTTGAATTTTGTTCCTCTTTTTATAGTTATCTCCAGATCACAGTAGTAAGACGTGTTTTGTCTTTCAACACGTGCTTCGATAAATAATTTCGTCGAAGTAAGAAAATTCAATACCCACAATATCATAATAACCTTTTTCAAATGTCGAGACACGGGAGATCTTTGTAGAGGTCGACTCACTGCGTAATACCGATCAATACCAATCATTACGAGTAGCCAAATTGAAAAGTCAGGTAGAACAGATAAGTTTGTCAGGAAGAACTTGCAAGTAAAATTACCAAGTGATCCTCCAAACCACAACTTGTTGTATGAACTGTAATGAATAGCATTCATTAACTGAAGAAATGTTATAAGAACATCTGTGAAAGCCTGGTGAGAGATCAACTGGTTGGTAGTGGTCTTCAAAGAACTGTTTCGTCGTATAATGTGTATAATCAAAGAATTTCCAAACAGTGATGCTAGAAATAGGATAGCGTGTCCAAGATACATCAGGAAAATAATGCCTTGAAACTTTGTGTTTGTTTCTTCAATGGATGTAGACATGTTTCCTGTGAATGGAAATTGTTAAAAAGTAGAAATTCACTTTACTTTTTATCATATCATTGTTCCAACTAATAGATGTATTTGGCTACTGAGGGCCTCCATTTAACACAGTCATATTTTCTTATCACCGAAGGAGTCACGCTATCTATCTATGCATAATTTGTCTAGCTTACCATAATTTGTATAGCTTACCATGAGTAGCTAAACATAAAAAAAGTCGCTCCAAATACGTCTTTAATGTATGTATACTTAATCTCCAGTGACCTTTCCCTTTCATTTAAACTTTTTGCGTGTGTTACGTGATGAATCATGATGAGAATTTACTTTTTGCATCGGATAATATGTCATATTTCATATACTATGCATTATTTTAGATTAACATACAGCTGTCCTCTTTTCGGAAGAAGCATGATTTTATCGAAAGTTACCCTCACACGTTTGTGTTAAGCCGGTTCATATCTAGGTATCCTAAAAATAGATTATTTCCAGACATTTTGAATTACCAACCTCGAGTTCCTACTTCAATGCTACTGTTATGACCTCCAAGTAAGGAGCCTTTGACTTCGGAGTTGCCGGTGAAAAATGTCATGTTCATCTCATCAGCAATTGTTTTGTACGGCAGCAACTGTGTTATTTAATTCAGAACACCCCTTTAACTGTCTAAATCCTTCAATGCGTTTTTTTCCATAAAGCTTCTAGTGTGGTAAGGCATGATTGCGAGAAACCTGAAGAGCACAAAACGTAGCCGCTTAAGGTGAACGTGAGACTTCTTCTCTAACATTTGAGTTGTACGCCATCAATATAATACAAATCATAATATGGGCCCCAATGGATGGCGAGACTTTCCTCCATATAAGATAAACATGTTTAGCAGCAGCTAAGATATGTATAATTCATAACAAAAAGAAGAGCTTTGAATGATAATTAAATGTGCGTTAGTTTGATGAAATATGATTCATTTGTCTTTTTCTCTGTTACTATTAATCCTTTTTGTTTTGTATTTTTTGCGTTTGTTTGATATTTTTGTAGTAGTTAAGACTTAATAATCATGTAGTTATGCCTCCTATTAGTTTAAATAGGCTTTAAGTGAATCAAAACATATGTCAAAAAGAAGACCTTCTTTTGAGTGATTGGAGACCTTATTAATTTTAGCCCCGGTCCTTTTGGGAAGAAAATGCTCTCCTCAAAATTAATGATGAAATGTGTCAGCGTCATTGTTATTTCCACTGGTTTTCCTTTGTTAAAAATTGGTTTGATGCTAATGTAACAGTGACAGTTTTTGGGGGTGAATTTGAACTTTAACGTCTTCCCGATCCACATTTTGACTAAGCTTCCATTCTCAAAGAAGGAAATACACA